TGGTGAACAGAAAGATAATAGTAATTCTAATGCAGAATAAATTGTAAGCGATATTTAATTTTAGCGATCTTAACACCCTCGCTAAAATGCCAAAATTGAATCCTCGCTTAAATTTCTGCTTATACGGTATGAATAACGTATACATGTATACCAAAATATTTATAGAGATCAGAAAGTAGATCAGTGAATTTATTTTTTTTTCTTCAGACCTTTTATTACACAAACAATAAGAAATCGTAAACAGAGAAAAACAAGAGGTGATATCAGGTGCCGAGAAGGAGTAAGCATCCCCTGTCGACCAGTTACACCCGCCGTGAGTTCTCTATATTGATCAAGTAAACAGAGTAATCCATACTCAAAATTAGGATTCAAAAAATAGCTGAACAATTTGGTAAGGAACATGTCAGTTCAAATACGAACGAACAGTAGGTTGTATTTGCAACCATGGTCATTATAACGACCATAGAATTTGCGAAATGCTGACTTAAAACGGGATTGTTGAAAGCTCTTTAACATCTACTTATTTGTCAGTAGCATTCCTTTATCTGATAATTTACTCAAGACATGCTCGTTTGTATCGGATTAGTTGGGAGACATAAAGACCATATGCAGGAGACATTGGAATATAGATCATAATGGGGATTGTAAAGTCGAAGTCATTCCGTTTTTATATGGTTCAGTTGTTGTTGGTCATTATTGTCTAAAGTCAGTAAAAATTCAAACATGAAACAGATATGTTAAACTCTGTGGTGTCTTTTATTTTGAGTTTACTGCAGTATATTGAGTCGGCATATGAATGAAATTAACTAGAGTTAATAGATAAAACGTTGTCGTTATATTAAAATGTCAGACGGGAGGTCACAGCAAGACTTTTCTTCTTATGTAGAAGTGTTTGAAAATATTCTACTTCATATAAAAATAAAGACAATTCAGCTAATAAAGGAGCACGATTTCTTCCCACTCGAATTCCAACAGACTATTGATAGACCTGGTCTCCAAATACTATAATCAAGAGGAACCCCAGCAGCTTTTAATATTAACTTCAGAGTACTTATATGTATAATCAGGCTGGATTTTAATGAAGTAATTTTGTAGAAGACCAATCATAAGATATATGAAAATTTCAAAGTTCCTTTACAATTGAAGAGGCAGTTGTCTATGCCCATCGGAATTCCAGCAGTTTGTTTGAAGACCTGTGGTCCTTTCTACAAAAGGACTATACAACTAAGATCAAAATAAATTTTTGAAAATGATTTTCTTCTTTTTATTAACTTGAAAAGATTTATAATTTTATTTATAATAATTAAGAAAGACGTTTTTAGATGAGCTATTTTAAAGAAAGTTATGAGTTAAGTTAGATTTGAAAAAAAGAAGCTATATATAATTAATTTTTAATATCAACTTCAAAGTACTTGTGTGTAAAATCAGAATGACTTTAACAAAGTAATTTTATAGATGACCAATCACAAGATATGAAAATCTTCGAGTTCCAGTTTTAATGAAGAAGCAATTGCCTCTGATTCCACAGCAAAAGATACAGCTAAGGTACCTTACGTGTGTATTAATATTGGTATTGGTTGGGGGTAAATTTAGTGCTAGTATTAAGCATTTGTATTAATTGTTGCAGTTTTTTAAAAGGAGCCTTAATTTATGAATCAAATTTGTGGACATGATGACCTTGGAATTGGCATTTGCCTATTCTTGAAAAAGTAAATCTGATAATATTTTCGTTTGTGGGTGATATGGTTTGACGTCGAAATTTTCAGAAGCTTTTTCAACACAAAAGATATATTGACAACTTCATGTCCTTGAACTTCAATCTTGTTTTTTTTTAAATAATGAAAATTCTCCATAGTTCAATACTTTCAACAAGCGCTGAGAATTTTTAAAATTGAGCTATAAAACTTTGCCTGCCAGTTGATAGTTCTATGATACTATGACATATATACAAGTAGACATTGCATTCTACTTCGCAATCAACTCAAAACACATTAATTTCTTCATGACATCCTATCCTATAAAGGATGTATTTGCCTGCTACACGTGTGTTTCTTGAAAAAAATCTAGTTCTCTATCAATAAATAAATGTTTAATGACAGTCAGTATGTTAGAATGTTTCCTGTAAGAGAAAAAAACCCAGAGTAATGTACAAGTATATAGTAGATAAAGCGGAAATTATGAAACATAACGAAGTAATCCAATACTGAAATTACAAAGGTTACATGCTGGCAGAACAAATATAGGTAATAATATTTATCGCAACCCATACGTATCTGGTCGTAATTTATTTCCCAACTGAACTAGATCTTGCTTGATGTTACATTATTTCGCCTCGGTTAACACAACTGGAATACACAAAATGTATTGGTCAGTCATCTGTACCGTATAGCAAAGTTACATTATGTGGCGATAACATCAAAGGTATTTCTCTTATTTACCTAACAGGGACGGACACGTCCTACATATGACCTAAATTTCGCTGACGGGCATAAATCTTGTCCACGCAACGATAACAAAATGGACACACTCGCACCTGAAACCTTGTGTCACTTGCGCCATTAAAACTCTGGCGTTCATTAAGAGGTCATTTTTATGATAATTTTATCCGGTCTTTTTTTCTTACAAATACTGTATAATAACAGATTTTTTTTAAAATAAATGTATGTTTAAATGAACCTTCAGCAGCTATTTATTTGTTTATTATTGATCTTAATATATTATCCGTCCAAGTAAAAATGTCAGAATAAATTGCATAACCTATTTACAATTTTGGTGAACTGCATTTGACCCCTTGGATGGATTTTAATTTGATCCACCGAAGAAAGATATTAAAACATAAAAGTAAATAAATTGTATAAATTCTTTCATCTGTTCCACCAGAATTATTATTTGTTAGATGTAATTACCACAACAATCTTTTAGACGAGAAACAGAGTACTTTACATGCATTAATAAAAATCAATATATATATTTCATGTATTAATAAAAAATCAATATATTTTCTAATAATGTGTCTTAAAATATTAACAAATATAGATCTTAATATTTTCTTGAGAATATATTAGCTAACTGTGTAATGTGTTGGTACATGTTAGGTTTTCGAATTGAAATATTTCATAATTCCTGCTTTTGTTCGATTTTAGTTCTTATTCGATTTTCAGTCCTTTTATCGTTTTTAAATTATTTCTGTGTTTAGAAAGATGCAATATTAAGGGTAATATCTTTGATGTCAGAAAAGGGACTTAGAACTATGGGCTAGGTAAAATGATCTAGTCAATGGCAAAATCAGCAGGATTGTTTGGAAAAAAGGTCAACAGTGAGTTATTTCGAATTCTAAACATACATGTATGTGCTCTCTCACGATTTAGTTTTCCATCAATGCCATCATAATTTTTAAGGCAGTTCACCATCCATTGGTTAGGTATCAGTATTTTATCAAGATTCGCATATAAAAGTAATGATGCAAAACCTTTATATGGAAATGTTATGTATTTGCTGTTCACAAATGGATAACTAGAATAAAATATAAAATTGGAAAGTTTACACATGAATGATTTAATTAAGGAACGTGTCAGCATAATTCTAATTTAAGTCTTTAGACCAAATATTTTTAAAATGAGCTTCTTCGAAAAAAAAAAATCGCAACAAATAGAAAAACATTGAAATTTTGGGTAGGGTTCCGAACATATTGACGTACCATCATGAGTGGTCACTAAACTTATCTAGAATATGTTCTCGTTATATATAATATCAGATAATGTTTTAACTTACTACCGGATGTTTTATCTGAAATATGGTCCAATCTTTCTTTTTCACCCTAACTCATAAATAATAAATGTGTATTTATTGATATCTAAACTAAATGCATATGATGGAACTCTCCTGACATTTTATTCGGTACATTGAAAGCTGATGCTTGGTTTTATTAAATTTAAATACGGTACAAACGAATCACATTTAAATAGAAATTATATTTCTGTATTCAAAGGATAGTACACCATATGTTACAAAATTTTACGAGCTACGTATTGGCATTTCGCTATTAATGCACATATAGCAAATTAGAAATACATAGTTGCATATAGATCAATACAAGCTTAATAAAAAGGGGGGGGGGGATAAAACCGTTAAAAAATTGCAACAAAAATATTTTCAGTTCAGTGCTTTTACTAATGCAATAATCATGCTTTAAGATGGGTAGAAATTCAGCATCCGCGCAGTTAGCGTTAGGGTGTATAAATTGTTTCAGCAAAAAAATTTAATTCTACTTTTTTTTTAATGAAATCAATCTACCGAGATTTCTGATTGAACGTGAATAAGATAACATCGGAGAAGTTTATTTCTTAAAAATCAATTATTTTGCTCTCATACCCTTTCCATAAATTGATAAATTTTGAAAGTACACATTTAACCTCTGCTTTTAGACAATACATGATCATTCTTGTAGATAAGTTCTAACTTACAATCTATCGATTTTAAAACAGATTTGCATTTTTTTTTTACACTTGTTTGCCTGTAACATGTGTAATCCTGAGGTTAAACGGCCGAGATCGATCAACAACTGGACGGATGCCAAGCTTTGCACTCCATTTGTATAAATTTTCTTCCCTGTGTGTGCTCTAGGATTATGCATCTGCAAAACCGCTTAGTATTCTCTACAGGCGCAAGGTAACTCCGCCAGGTCGCACTGGCTCAATTTTAGCTTAAATGAAAAAAGCAGATCTTTGGAAGTGTTGGTGGGTCATATGCTGGGCAAAGAGGTGGTTTGAAAGGTTGACCTCTTGACATGACTGAGCCGGTTAATTACAATGATCGTCTGCAACTTAGCTACCTATGGCTTTCAAAATCCATAGTGTTCGGACGAGTGCTCCGTGACCTTTGTGGAACAATTTACACAGGCATTTCAGTCAATGAGATAAGGCAAAGTTCATGAACTTTTTGCAAATAAAACGGGAAAAATTACTGCTGCAATGCTATATTCGTGTGCAAATAATAAAAACTTAAAAGTTCAACAAAACTTTATTCCAAAATATACCAAATTATTGACAAGAAAAAAATAAGACTTGTTAATAAAGGGAATTTTTTTTATCTCTGGTTTCTTTGATCACTAAGAGAGGATTTAAGCATGGCTTATATATGTTGTAATGCAAATAGATTCGTTGGTATCATAAACATTTGATATAAATTTGTGTCCATCAACATATACAAAGGAAAAATATTTATTTAAAAGAGTAAAGAGTATTTGAACATTATGTAACAAAAATACTAAGAGGAAAGATACACATTTATGACGATCTATATAAGGCAAAAATCATGAGGTAGACAGTATAGCTGGGTAGAATTAAGGAATTCTAACGAGAGTTTTAAATCCTGGCGACGTATATCAAAAATATATTTATCTACACCTCTTTTTTTCTAAAAATATATCGTAAATAAGAAAACTCGCTTTTTTTCCTTTTTACAGAATTGTCAGCGTAAAAATTAATTGTCCAGAAAATTGTATGCACTATACAAAAACCCATTGCAAGGGTATATTTGAAACCCACAGGAAACATGACTAAAAGATATTTAAAGTTCACGGAGGGGTTGTAATTAACGAGAAAGTTTTCATGTCATGACTATTAAACCAGATAGAAGGCCATTAACATATATTTGATAAAATTCGATATCAACATTATCAATGCACCACATACACACATAAAATGAAAAAATATTACATTATATAAGATAAGAAATAATGAATAAAATTGATTTGTTGTCGTGAACTCCCTGAGTTAAGTCATACAAAAAGAGAAGAAAGAATGCAAATTATGTTCCCTTACTTTCATGACGCATGGCGATGAAAAAAGTGAATACATAACTTTTGTTACATTACATCGAGAAACATTCTGACAATAAAATGTGACACACACAGAAACATACATACATTAAAACAGTCCATTCAACTTTTGTTTCAAACAGTAAATAATAATATATTTACAAAAACGACTGTCACATTTTCGATGACATTTTGCGAGTATACATGTTTCTTTCGTGGTAAGTCCAACTTAGTAGCCTAAGCATTGAAGGGCCACAAAAAGGTGTAATTTAAAGAAATAGCACTAAAAAAAAATTAATTTCGCTACTGTGTCAACAGTTTTAGCCTGTAAATCTTTTAAAATTTCAATGAGGTCCCATTGGTTGTTTGTTCTTCATTGATTACGATTAGCTGCCATGACACGTCGACCTAGCAAGAAATGATTGATGATTCCTATAAAATATCACTTGATAACAAACATTGCATACGAGCATACCTGAGAGAAGAAAAAGGATTTTTATCTAGGAAAAAACGTGGACAAGTAACTCTAACAAAAATAACGAAGAAAACTGACCTATTTATGACAAAAGTCTATGTGTTATATAACATACATCGAAGCTTGGCCGTTTCTGTTTTTAAAGCCGCAACTTCAACCCGTAATTTCATGTTTTCTTGCTCTAACAAAGCAGCTCGTATAGCTATCTCATCCTCTTTTGCTCTCCTCGCATCTCTAGATCTTTTTGCAGCTTCGTTGTTTTTTCTCCTCCTCTCCCAGTACGCTTCATCCTTTTGTTCGTCTGGAAAGGTTCTAGCTCGTCGTCTGCTACTTGAGTGAGTTGACGCCTGTCCGGAGCTGGTGCTAGGGATTGATGGGGTTTGGGCACGATTGAAAGATGAACTTGTTGGAGTATTGGGAGCGCTATGGTGCTGTGGATTATAGGAAGCTGAGGTACCCGTATGTGAACTTGTAGCTGAAGCACTTGACAATGTGCTTGGTTTCATGAGACTTCTATGAGATTCCGACTGCTGCTCTTGTAGACTTCTTAGCTGATGCTTATATAGCTGCATAATGTCTTCACTACTTAGGTTTAATCCCTGTAACATACTCGATTCTATTGTCTGATATGGATTCATTCCGAAGCATCCAAATGGTACAGAAAGCGGTTCCTTCGGGTAAGCTTTAAATGGACGCGATGGTTTGTTGGATGCTTGGGATGCTATTCTAGGGTCCATAAGAGCAGCAATAGAAGGAAAGGTTCCACACATACTTGCTGCTGCTACGGATGGAATAGCTCCAGACTGAATCGCTTGAACGACACTTGCTATTCCAGGATTAAATGTTTGGTTTGAAGAGGGCATTCTATTTTCATAGTCCCTCTTATGATTATTATGATATGAATTCCCATTGAAGGATGATCCATCCTCGTTGTCAGAAAACTTTTTGTCCTCTCCATAGCTGCCTGAACCCCCTTGCGTAGATCCTGGAGAATTTGGGGAACCTGTACTAGAAGCCTCTATTTCACAATGTCTGCGTTTGAAGGAAAAATCCAGAGGGGAATCGACAGATTCCTCGGAACAATAGCTGCTGGTTTCATCTTTTATAATTCTGTGCTCAATCGAACCGTTTCCGTTGCACATGCCTGTTTGATCGTCAGGGGTTAAACCAACGTTGTGTAATAATTCTCCTTGAATGTCTTTAGATCCATTATTAGCCATCGCATGTGACAATCCCTCTGAACACGTTAGATTTCCTTCCACAGAAAACTCCTTTGATTTTATTATTCATTAGAGCTATAAAGAAAAAAGGAAAATATATATTTAATTTCCTAATACCCTGTCCATCGTCGTAGATATAAACTCCTTTTACAATATCTATAAAAACCTACACAGTTGAAAACACATGCTTTCCCAATAGTTGTGATGACTCATTTGACAATCCCTGCATTTTTTTTTTTACTAAAGCACATTACTAAGATCATTTATTTTTTAAAAAGCTGAAATAATATGTTATGCATAAGTAATTACTCGGTTGTTTAATCAATACCAAAAAATAAAGGTAATTACAATATGGATGTGTACAACTGAGCCAATTGATACTGAACAACCTACCGTTTGTTTTCTGTTATTCACAATAGATCACGTTTGACAATGTATATCCATGGTTTATGTACAATTAACAAGCTTAACACGCCCTTGAACTGCAAACGTTTTACGTTCAAACATGCTCGTTGTTGCTTAACATATCCTAATGTTTATGTTATTAAACTTGACGCTACTGAGAATCCCCATATGCATTAGGCATATCACGTAATCCTAACTTAGCTATCCAATCGCCATCTCGATGGACAAGAGGGCATGTCCATCGCCTCACTCATGCCTCGCATTGCTAGTAAATCCCGCCCCTATTGGTCAGTTTGCAAAAAAAAGAAGGTTGCGTAAGATGCAAAGCCAATATGTTAAAGCCTCGTTTCCATTCCTATGTAAACTGTCATAAAATGTAATCTTTTGAAAAAGAATAACATCGCGTGTCACTAGTTTGAACACGTTTAGAGGTTTTGCCTATACTATCTTTTTAAGTGATGCGAATCAATAATCCAGTGTTTCTCATCATCTGCACTTTTAACATAAACTTCAATCATCACCAATGTTTAAAAAAATCAAAGAGAGGGGGAAAGCTATGCACAGAGAGATCGCCTAACCATAAAAAGCAAATGACCCGTGTCATGCATTAAATCTTTTTCACGACCGCCTCTGTGAACATAGAGGTATTTGGACATTTCAGCGGTTCAGTTTGGGTCAGGTCAGGGGTGTATATTTTTAGCAAGCCTGTCATATCGCAATACTTTATCAGTTTGAAGAAAAGCGGCTACCTTGTTACTCGCAGCAATAACTGACCAGGTTTGTGTACTAAAAACATTCTTTCAGAATGAAATATAGTTCAATCTTTACCCAGATAGTTTATTATCAGTCAGCATTAGGTAAAACATTTGAATTCATTTTAATTTTGATAAGAATAAGCCCATCTGAAAAAAATAAACTTATGGGCGCATAATAAAACAAATCAATCCAAATAAAAAAAAAAAAAAAAAGATCTAGAATATCATATTTATCATGCTTTTAAATAATAAAAAAGGTAAAAGAAAGGTATACTGTACCATAATATTCAAAATTAGTTTAATTTTGTTTATCTTCAAAGTCTCTATCTATGAATGCAGTTTGAAGCACTGAAGATATATATAAGTCAAACACTAATCATCCAAACCCACCTCTTAACCAAAACGAATCAACATTCGAAATTCCATATGTCCAGTTTTGTTAAATTCAAATAGGTCAACAATAGAAAAGGTTCAATTTATTAGAGGACTCCTTTGATATTTAATTGTGAGTTCGAGGCTTATTGACTCTCTTCCGATTGTTCAAGAGGTTATTTTGTAAGTTCAGGAAGATGCGTTCATTCTAGGGTGAAATATTTATTACACAAAGCACTCATTTTTATATTTCCAACTTCCTTATTTATCTGTACGTTTCTCGGAAATTTGAATGAGCTATAGAATTAAATCATGCATTAACTACCGTATCTTAAAAATTTTCAAGAAAAAAAATACAAAATAATCTTCCTTGACCTTAGATTTACAAATCTGGAGAGGGTTGAACCTGAATTGATTGGTAATAAATCTTGATTGTATGTATGGATGTAGGATCTGATATATTGAACACTCCTTAAGTGACCTTTAACTGCTTATAGTCATTTAAGGAGTTAGAAGAGCCGCCCATGCAGTTGTTAGTTTATTGCAAGATTCAATAACAGCTGTTTTAACCATTTTCATGTATTATTTGTTTTGATAATCTATAATAATTCTTTGTCATTGGAAATACATGTACCAGAAAGAAATGTAATTATTTTTTCATAATCTATAAATTACTTTTGTAAATATAATAGATTTTATAACTTCCCTCTACAATACATAAACACTATTGTCCTTTGTTTAAGAACATACAGTAAGAATAAGATTTTTGATGATTGTGTGTTGTTTTTATCTTCAGAATGGTACAATCTAACAATTTATTTAAATTGATATGACCACTGCTAATATAACAAGAAACATTCATTCATTCTAGGATTAACCAAGAAACTTGTCTATCTTTTATAGTAAGTAATTCAGTTGTTATTAGTTTGATTCGGATAATAAAAAAATGTATAAAGATTTGTTATTATCATTTGGAAAATTTTTGTGCAAAATGAAAACATCTACAGGTTATTTTGTATTTTCAGACCTTTTATGATTTGTAGATTCAAAGAGGCAAGATTGTTCCTCAATCTTTTTCTGCTTAAATCCAAAGTTTTCATCATATATTTGTAATGGGATATATATCTAAGCAAAAATTAAATCTATATATTTACATTTTTATTGTGCCAGAAATTTACTGTATACCTTTGGGTTTTCTTTTTAATTTTTGAAACACCTAGTTTCTTTTGTTAAGAAAAAAAAATAAAAAAGGAATACATGTAGCAAGTTTTAGAGATTGATCTGTTTTAATATTTGACAATAAATATACTTTTTGAATTTTGATTTATTTTTGAAATAAAATATTAAAAAATATCATCATTGTTTATTATCATTTACATGTATTATTAAAACTAATAATGAATGCAAACATGGTTAAAAGTTCTGCTTTTATATTTTATTATATTATTTATTTTTTTGCTGTTTGTTCACACTTATTTCAAATACATTACAAAAAGTCCACGTTGACCCTCCACTTTTAGAGCATGCTTTGTGTATACATTTATCATGTGGAAATTCTTTTGTAGACAAGAGTAAATTCCCTGTCATTTTCCTCATAAAACTGCAGTCCGCCTCACAATGATACAAACACTTCCTTTTGATAAAGATTCCTCAGAACTGTGTACATTTCATTGAAAGAGAATCATTATGCCTTATTAGACAATTGGGAAGAAAAACTATTTTCCATTTGTAATTTTTTATTTGTTTTTAAAAATAATTGCTAGAAGTTGTTATTTCCTTTCAGTCTAAATATATTTTTGAGATATGGACATGCAAGATCAACTTTATACATATAACGTCTGTACTAAAGAGTTTTTTTTTTCCTTCTTCTTTTTTTTTTAATGTGAACGTTTTTCCTTGATTTGGATTTATAACATTAAACGAATCATAAATATATGCACACAACATGTAAACAAAAACGTTAACAATATGATATCTTCTATGCCCGTTGGTCAGTCATTTATTAAAAAAATTTCATATTCAGTCTATTATCTTTAATTGAAGTGCTGTTCTAATAGAACTTACTTTTTTCATTGTTCAGTAATACTTTTAAATTGAAGAACAATGTTCAGACATAATTCAAATTACTTTCAATAAAATATATTTTCATTAATCATTGATCGTTCTAAAAGATTTCTTTACTCGTTCATTTTTTATCTTATTCAAAATATAGACTCCATTCCTATATTATCGCTCGAGAATATCACGAGAATAATAAACAAACGGAATCCAGTGGAAAAGGGTTTTGCAATTTTTATGTTCTGATCTATACGTTGTATTATATAAAATATTACATTATTTTAAAATTAAACTATAGTAAGCTCTTAAGAAATTCTTACACTGTTTTTCATCCGCATAGTTTACCAAAAGTACTTTTTGGTAAGTAAAAGATTGGGGAGTGTCTATACATATTTTTATTCAGGCTCTATCGAATTTTAAAAAATAGTAATTTTTTATGAGTATTTTTTCATTTAAAGGAGTGGATGAAAAGTGGAGAATTTTCATTTGCTGTATTCATTCAGCAGGTGACAATATGATCAAGTCATCGCGGTTTTCTTCTGTGACCCGAGCAGAGTGATCGTAACCACTCATGCGTGACCTTAGTGTTGAGTTAATTTTCACGGAGTGGGACAGCGGAATCGTTTTTAATCTTTGCATCAATGGTCGAGTGACTTTTTGACGAAGTCCGCCTCTATTTGGTTTGACGGCTGGCCACAGGTAGCCACTTTCTTGAATTTGTACAATACGTTTATGAGCTTTCATGGCACCTGGTTGTGACATTAACTCACATATTGTTAGCCTCTCTGCATAATTAAACTTTTAAAACTTTTTTTCAAATTTCCAAGACGTCATTTATCACAATTCTAATAATGGAAATAAACAGAAATGAGGACATTCAGATAGGAATGATTCATATTAATTTAATTTAATGTTGAATTATTGTGCAATGATATCTTTTAAGATTATATGTCATATACCATTCTTTCTTGAAACTGTTCAGTTATCCATTTGATATTGGCATATACTGTCTGGGGAAAAAATACTTATCATTAAATAGATAGTATTGCACTTCTTTTTACAAAAAAATGGTAATTTTTGGATAATTTTAAATGAATCTAACATTGCAGTAATAAAAAGTCCATATATATTTCTTCATTCCAGAAACAAAATATCCAAATTATTTGACCGGAAGTGGATCGTTCAAGTACATTTGATGACCTAGTTAATACAAGAACAGGCAGGAGGCGCTCGTTTTTCATCTACGAAGATTATATGATAGTTTTATTCAGTCATAATGTAATGCAGAGGGTCATTTAAAGGCTAACTAAAGATGGGGAGATATGAAGCACCAGAAGGTATTCATCATACAGCCCTGCCACCTAGATGTGTACTCAGATAATTTGAACAGAACATGAGCATCAAATGATTGGGAGAGAGGAAAACGAGATACAAAGGACACACTCCTTTTATTTCTATCGAATTCATCTATTTTATGTTCTAACCACCTTGTCCAGTCTTTTTTTTCTTTTTTTCAAAATTAACTAGAAATAATTTCTTAATTCTAAAATAAAGGTCAGTAGGTCATGAGGATATTTTTGAAAGAATGTGAAGCATAATGGAAAAAGACTAAGAATAATGACATAAGAAAAAAAACATATCACATATGTAATTAAAAATTTTGCATACTTTTTTCATCTTCTTTTTTACTTCCTTTTTTTTGCAGTGTAAATGCAATTCTTTTGCGCTTTAACAATTGTAAATACTTTTTAGATAATCTTCAACATTTTTGTAAGACACGTTTTTTCTTCAACAAAAGCTTGAAATTATCGGCGAGCATTTTGTGAATAGAGATTGTTTTATTAATGCTGAAAATAGTTGAATTTATTGTATTTGCTTGAATGAACCTATCTGAATTATTAATTAGACTCTCATAAACAAGAATTCCTAATGTAGCATATTTCCTTTCAAGTAGGAAAAAACTACGATTTTTGAAAGACTCATTTTCATGCACGATAAACAGTTTTTAATTTTACAACAAGCAATCAAGCATATTTGAAAGAGACCTTTCCAGGATGAA